TTCATTATTCATTCATTCATACAATATAGAACTTATCATTTTTTTATGTTTTTAATAATTACATATATACATAATATAAAATGCACACTTATTACCAACTTAACACAGGATATGTTGATATGTCACAGGATACCCTCTAGGTGATAGTTCTTGATTACTTTTTGATAAATAATTCGTTCTTATTGCGAAATAAGGGCACTATTTATCAATCTGTAATAAAAGGCGTGAGGAAATTCTGTCTTTTTTAAAGACAAAAATGTTTGAAGTAAAATACCCAACAAGCAGTTTGTAAAAAAAATCTTCAATGTTAGTCATCATACGCCCACTATAAAACAACAGGTGAACAAATTTCAAGTCACAGACATGCCTTCTAGTATTATTAAAGAACAGGTTGCTTTACTTGACAACAAAATTCTTAACCCACCCAAGTTAACAGTCCGTGAAAAATGCATGGGTTATAAAGGATGTGCAGTAACAATGAACGAATTGTGAGTCCATTTTATCTATCAGCCCAACCGGCAACAAAAGTAGTTAAACGGCTTGCAGCCAAGAACTTTTCACATGTGTGTTTTTCAGCTCAATGTATAGCTTTCGATAAGAAAATCGTCAATATGGATATTAGTGTGCCAAAGTACGATATCTCAGTAAATATGCAATGTTTCCCGCGAAAGTTTTTGGTCCTTAGGATACACATTGTTTCAAACTATTACGTCGCAAACGTGTGGTTTTTTTAAAGAACCCCTTTTTTGTCACTATCGGATCTATCGTTAAATTTGAATATAAGTTTATTTCAGATATTTGATCTGAACAATTTACGGTATCCGAATTATTCCGAAAAATATTAAGTTTCACAGCTACTGGGTTACCGTTTCTAAATTATTCTGCAATATTTTGAAATTTACTTAATTTTTATTTTGACCAAGTCAACTGGTTACATGTTGAACATCAAAAAATGCATTAAATATTTGTTTTTACTTAATGCATTTTGATCGGATCCCAATTGAGGTCTTGCCAACAAAATACCTATTTACTTCTCGTAGCATATCAATGCTTTACCATCAAAATCATTGGAAAAATGTCATCAAAATAAATAAGCTCTTACACGGTCCTCTGCGGGCCCTGGAGGACTTACTTCAGATACAGTTTTCTGATTAAACATCTGAAATGGATTTACATTAAAATTTGAGGGACGATCCGAAAATCGAAAAAAAATCAGCGGTTTCATTTAAAAACCATAGTTCGTATCTACCTCAGATTAAACAGATGCTTTTGTTTACCTTTTTCTATGGGCGAAATAATAGCTCACAGTTTGTGGACCGGCTCGGTTATCAATTTGATATGCAAAGTGCCTGTACAAATCCTACCAAAGCAAGCTTCCTAGGGTGCAAACATGATGATTTAAGCTAATTTATCTCATTCAGAAGTGGACGATTTTTGAAATAAAGGACCTCAAAGTTAAAAATCTAAGGGACAAGAAATTGGAATACAAATGTCTCACTTCTAATGCAGAGCGAGTAGGGACTTGAATTGAATCTAAAAACGCTAACAAGTTCAATTAATTCGCATAAGACGCTGATTTTTGCTCCTTTCGTAATAATTGATCTAAAAATTAACGTTTTCACGAGTCTGCAAGCTCACAAATAAAAATTGCTAACTTCTAATCCAGAGCAAGAAACGACTTGACATTTTTACAGTCTAAATAGACGCTTGAATCAAAAATCGCTCAGAATTTCATTTCACTCGCATGAAATGCTGATTTTTGCTCGATTCATAAAAGTTGGTGTTAAAATGAACGTTTTCATACAACTCCTCAAATAAAAAGTGCAAGTTCACACTTCTAATGCAGATCGACTAGGGACTTGAAATTTTTACATCCTATAAAGACACATGAATCTAAAAACTCTCAGAATTTCATTTAATTCGCATAAAAGGTTGATTTGTGTGCCTAAAACTTGGTCTAAAAATTTACGTTTTCACGCATCTTCAAATTTACAAATAAAAATTGCTCACTTCTAATGCAGAGCGACTAGGGACTTGATATTTTTACATCCTATAAACACTTGAATTTAAAAACGCTCAGAATTTCATTTAATTTGCAGAAGAAGCTGATTTTTTTAACGAAGCGAAGCCGAATATTTTCATGTTTTATAGCATATTTAAACAACTAACTCTTTAAAGCTTTAAATAGATACTTGAGTTGTGTGCACTAGTCGAAACGACATAAGTACCATAAGACGAAGGTCAAAATCGTAAATACCAATAGGTATATAGACCTGGTGACCACGGTAAGTAGTACCGAAAACAGTGCAGCAAAGTATTTTTCTACTTAGCACTGCGAAACAATAATTCTTCGAACATTGTGGGTTTTAGAAGTCACCTCTATACAACAATGTTGCTTGGCCAATTATCTGGCTAGGTCATTAGCATTGTAATAAAAAAATGACATTGAAAAATTCTGGGAAAATTCTAACAATATAGTGAATTTTTTTTAAATAATAAGGATGAATTGCAGGTTGCTGTAGTTGCTCTTAAAGCTCGCAACCTAGAACATGTGAATGCGTTGAAACACTTGCATAGCAATAAAAGCAAAAAGCTGGAAATTGCTCATTTATTTTTGGTTGTTCAGATTAAATGCCGAAAGTTCCTCTCAGCGCCTTCCTGTTACTCTAGTAACCTCCTTCTGATTGCTTAATGGCATTGAACATGTATCTCGGATAAATAATAAAATCATCTAACGAAAATTGATTTAACTTTGTTTTTCTAAGCACTGACTAACATAAATTAAGAATTTCATGTACACAACACATGAACAATGACTCACTATGCTATTATTGCAATTCTAAATTTACCCACACATGTATTAATTAATTAATAGAGCATTTAACTTTTTTAGATAATTTTGTGAACGTTTTTTTTTTCACTTAATAGGTTTTCATAGTTTTTCGAGCTCACTGTTGATTTTTCCGATTATCATCTTGGCTCAAGAAGCACGTGAATGCACGTGGGTCAAAAGTGATGGCCAATGGTTTTTCAAATCAATTTAAGTAAAAATACAGCTATAATGTACATTACATTTCTTCTGAAAGACCCAGAAATTAAAAGCTAACGGATTTTCAAGAGCAATGTCATCCTCTGGACATAATGTTATGACTTTATCATGATGGTGCATCCATTTTTCGCTTAACTTCAGAGTACAACCACCTTTATGCGCGTATAATTAGATCAAAATGGGTATATTTATAAACGCAGGTAAATGTCATGTTTGCTATTTGCATAACACATGAAATAAAACCAAATAAACAAACTTTACTAGTGATTTATGTATGGGGGTCTAAAACGTCTGCAGAGTACTTGAAGCAAATTATGTTTGATTCGAGGCTGTAATTAAGTAGTTAACATCATTTATTATGGCTGAACATAAGAGAAATTGCAACTGCGAACGAACTTCGTGTTCTATACATTTATTACTTTATTACAGTGTCCCCGGATGGATATACAAGTTTATATATTTTGCGCTTTTACAAATATTAGACATATATGTCTGCGTACACTAATAAATAAATTCTGGATGTGTTAGGAAAGCAAATGCTAATCGTGACCAAATGAAACGTTCTCAAAGCATTTTAAGTTGAAAGATTTTTCGGAAAAATGAATTCGGTAATGAAACCAAAATACATGCAAAAATCAAACAGACACAAAGAACTAAGCCAAACTTTGAAAGTTTTTGCCAACCGAATTTTGTTCTAAAGCTTTTAACAAAAGCCAAACTTCCGTAAAAGAATTATTCCTTTTTGTTCCTCTGAGAATGCTTTCCGCAGCTGCAATTGAAACGTTTATAAATCCAGACGAACATTTAATTTACTAGCATTGTTAGGTTGGTTCTGATCATCTTCAGAACAGTTGCAAGGTTTCACGTAAAACATCCAATGTGAGATGAAATTGAGTTAACTCCAACAGTCCGAAAGTGATTAGTCTATTTTAAGTAAAGCAAATAATAAAAGCATAAAATAGGAATCCAATCTACATTTACATCAAGTGTGTTACACACACCTACCTGTAAATCATCATTATTTATTATGAAGCAATTAGAAATTGTGAATGTGCATGAGCAATTTGGGTTTTACTAACATAAACTGTGTCAATCTGTGGAAATGTGGCTAAAAATAATTTATGGATGCACTCTAGTAATTAAATGTTCAATGAATAATTACGCAGTTTGAAAAGTTGAGGACAAAAAGCACCTGGTTTACATTTCAATGTCCAGCTTAACCCACAAGGCCTGAATTTTGCAAATGAATAATGATATTTAGCATGGAAATATTAAGAAGATTAATTATTATTTTAAATTTGAGTATTTTTTCTTTGGTAAGCTCTAAACTTTTATAAATTTGCTCCGTTGCGTCGCCTCTTGAACTAGAAAGAAATAACATTCCGTTCGGTCAATAGTTTGAGCTTCAAAGAAATGTTCGTATGTGTCTTACAAATTTAAGGCGAACTTGCCTTCCAACAATTTACTGCGTTTCATGAAAAAATAGCAGATAAATAAGATTTACTTAATGTTTTATAACAAATATTAGATAATAGTATCGCTTGAAACCGTGCTAGAAAACAAAACAAAATTGAATTGAAAATTGAAAACATTTTTGTGTGAAAAACATGAATTAAGTACTATTGCTTTTATTAAGTATGAAGTATGAAAATAAGACTAAAATAACTGACTCAGTGTCGTTGAACCATCATCCTGTGGAGCTGAAAACCATTTTAGATTATGACCTAAAACGACACTAATACTTTTCAATGGAGAACTTGTTCGATTCAAGTGATATAAATAAGTATTCCTTTGCTACTAAAACTGGTATGCCCAGCAGGTAAAATGTGCATATGAGGGTCACTTCGCATTTATATGAAATGCACTTCAGCAAGAACTAGCATAACTCACCATTGGAAGATTGTAATAACTGTAAAACATGATACTTTTGTTTGGCCTTCGCAATTGGCAGTGATGATAAACTGTTTTCAACCAACCGTAAATATTTCCTATTGTTGTTAATTCGCCCTTCTGAAAAGCTGTTTTGTAATTTACTTGCTTAATTTATTTGTAGTTTACTAAATACTGGGCGATTCAAACTTAAATTGCGTAACTTAAAACGAAAACTTTAATACAACTTGTTTAAAGCCAGATTCGCAAAAAATACGAAAATTTGAATCATTTTTAATTAAAAAATGGTTGACAAATAAAGGTAGGTATTTTAAATAATCAATAAAATCTTGATACTGACCAGGGTTTTTAGTCGCTTCTCAATTCTCAAAAAAAGTGTTTCTTATTCAAAAGCCAAGAGAGTAGAAATAATTTCCCTCAACTGCTGCAAGAATGTTAAAAAAGAAAATTAGAACAAAACATTATTTAAAAAAAATTAATTAAGTACATATATCAAACTAAAATTGTCGCTCTTGTAGGTTACGTAGAAGCTGATTTTCATTTGAGCATTCGCAATCTCTCTGAAAATTCGGGAGTTTTTCTCACAACTTGTTTCCGCATTTTAGAATCCTACAAATAACATCCTTATCAATGTCAATTAGTTCAAGAACTGCGTAAACGCAAAATCGACAAATTGCGCCAATTTTTTGACTTTTGGAAAAACCATCTTAAATTAATAAAAAAATGAAAATAAAATGTTAACTTTTCCACTTCGTATCTCAAAAACGAACCCGTTTCAATACAGGGTGTCCCACCGGGAACCGCCGCGATCGATATCTGGCAAACTATAATTAGGACAAATTTGAATTAATTAAAGTAATATAAAACAAATTAAAGATATATGGGTGAAAGCCAAACTTACTAAAAACTGGGGTGCACTTACCCCACTCCACCTTACTTAATTTGACTCACATTTCTTGTTGAAAAGGACTCACTTTAATGGAGTTTCGACAAAATTTCGATAACTATTAATGCAAAGTGTTAAAAAAATAAGTTTCAAAATGACGTTGAGAGAATCGCCCTAAATCATTTTTTTCAAATGGAAACCCCCATTTTTGTAAGTGCAAGTTTGTGTAAGGTTGTCTATTCCAAAATTGTTTAGTTTTCGAAATATTGTCAATTTAATGTTTAGATATGGCTATTTTGCCGTATCTTAATTTAAATCCTGCCACTCTTAGTTGCCATGACAAAAGTGGTCATTTTTAATACAATCAAATGCCAAAATATTGATGACAGCTGTCTGTTACCTTTTGAAAATAATTAATAATCATGCCCGAACGCTTAAATTATACAAACGAAAATTTTATAAACTTATTTATTATTTATGGAGAATGTGATATATGTATATGTACATAGGAAAAATGAATACTTAATTATTCGAGTGGCTGCAACTGTTATTTTTTACATAAAGTTTCAAATATATCAAAAACGGTTATACTTGGTGTAGGATTTTATGCACGAAATGTATTGAGAATTTGGAGTAGAATTTAAAAATGCAATAATATATAGGGTGTTCCATTTAAAATAAGCAAGTTGACACTTACTTCCGGTACAACCGGAAGTGTCGGCACCTTGAAAATATTTTAGATCGCTTGCCCCCACTGACTTCGGCACACTGTTCAATTTTCTCCTAATTAAGCTTGCCAGATATCGATCGCGGCGGCTCCCGGTGGGACACCCTGTTGTTTGTATGAGGTTTTGATCTTAAAATTGGATTTTCTATCGACCGTTCAAGTCCTGCTCCTATAAACTGACTCACCCTGTATAAGAGGAGCATGTTTTCAACTTTAAAAAAACGACCAGTAAAGATGGGAAAAGCAAAAAGTGATTCTAGAGCTCCGAAGAATGAATGAATTGTCCAAAACAAAACGCCAGTGATTATTTTATTCGAGAGGAATTAGGTCAGATAAATTGGAGCAATTAAAATCGAATTTCCTGGGTTAAAATTCAATAAATTTGAACTTATTTTATCAAATGGAGGTTATGTTCATATTGACGTTTGAAGTTTGTCTGCTAGATATGGAACTTACCTGACAAAGTAGGTACTTTTGAGACAAAAGTTATGAAAAACGTCTTGTTTGTACATAAAAAGGTCACCAATATTTGAACTCTATGAAAACATGGGATTATTCGCGGAGGATTTTCACTAGAAAACCGTAAAAAACCAGTTTTTCGTCCGTAGCTGTGAGAGTTACATTAAAATAATGACACTTTGTCCAAAAATGGCATTGATTGAATAACAACCAGAATGGACTTGAGACGTTATTCAATCGAAAGCCAGATGTTTTATTTCGCCTTGTTGTGCACAAGTAGTCAATGTATTTGCTTTGCCAATTAGAATGTGTTAAATCATACAGTCAAATTTGGATGTTGAACCCTTCCCGACGTAGATGCGAAGTCATATGAATGAATGATGGGTGTAATCTAAACAAATGCCTGATTTGTCACATCAATAAACAGTATTTGGACTGTAGCAAACGGCGTCCCATTTAAAACCCATCAACCGGGTATCCGGACACAACCGACCAGCTTACATCTAACAGTTTTATAGCCGGCCTGATGACGTGTTGAATGGAAACCAAAATAAATACCTGTTTTCCTGTCCTGGGAAGAGTTTCCATATTAGTCCCATTAACTACCGGGGCCTTTTCACTAACCCCACCGTTCGGGGTGCTCCCGTTGCCCAAAGCCATACCAAACAACACAGCAAACACTAAACAGATAACATTAAAAGTACGTTCCGCAACCAAAATGAGTTATCGCATTGTCGAATGCAAAATTTCCCAAAATGTTCGAAAGCAAAACCCGCAAACACCATAAAAACGCCCAACACAAACCAGTCGAAAACCGTGTCTGCTTGGAATTTTTTTTTTCTGGGCCACTGTAGTTACGCGATCCAAGCCGCTTATGTACAAGCCTTTTGTTGTCTCTTTTTATCAAACGGCGTTCAGTTTTGTAATTGGTAACCGAACGTCTTAGCGTCTATCAGCAAATAAAGCTGCATGAGGTGTGGAAATGACGCGAGCGTGCTGTCCCTGTCATTATCACGGGAAGGCCGGATTATAATCGGAACGTATGGCGGAAATTGACCGCGCATATTCAATTGCATCATCAATGTTGGCGAATGCGGTTTTATAACACTTTACTTCCTTTCTATACACGGCGGCCCACGGAAATCCGCTTCGATATTTCACGATGCTTCCTAATAGCGTACAGGGGGTCCCATTTTCAACACTGATACAGGGTGAATCAAAATTATCTTATTTCTGTAAAGGGCTCACAATTTATCTAATAAAGTTGTTCTCGGGTTAAAATGACGGTAATCCTTTACAATACGATCTGGTACTAAGATTGCCGCTTTGCCGATTAAGACTATGCTCACCTTATAGGAAATCTCGTAACAAACAACATTTTTCCTATACATTATACATGACTTCTTCACATTCATAAATTTTATGACTTATTTATTGACATTTTTTAGCTGTTTTTAGATTATTGGTATTAAAATAATGACACACATCTTAAAGTATTTTCTGCAAAAAATTTAAAAATAAATTTTATTAGAATACTCGCCTCCTTCGTCACTTTGTAAAAAGCTTAGAAATCCGTTTTCAGCTTCGAATTTTGTCCCAAAATTCTAAAAATTTTTTACCAAAGGACGAACAAAATAAACGAAAGTTTATAATAAATCATTTGAAAAACGCGTCACCCCCATCCCTTTGAAGACTGTGGAATTTGTTAAAAAACTTTGGTTTTTTAGTTTCGACTGAATTTTTTACATAATTTACTTTCTACTCAAAAACGCTCTATTTTGAAGAGTTTTACTTAAAAATACTAACAATCTGGAAGTATTTATAGCTTCGCCGGAATTTTACAAAAACTTTTTTAGTGTCGATTTCGAGACAAAAACTAAAATAAATGTATCCTGTTTTCCCCAAAAATCATTAGTGTTTTCTCAAAAACCGATTACAAAACTAAAAGTTCTAAATCAAAAGCGCAAAAAAATCATTATTTTATGATGCTTCTCTTCTTTCCTGACAATCATGGAGTTTTTTCAGCCAAAAATTACAAAATTAATTTTGTTAGATAATTTGCCTCATGCATCGCTTTGCAGGGAATTTTAAAAAACCCTTATCACCTTCGAATTTGGCACAAAAACCAGATAAATTTATTTACTTTTTTACCGAAGATTTTATAAAATGTTTTCTCGAACGTTCGATTTTGCAAGAGAATTCGTCGTCTTTATAGTTTGGTCTTCTTTATAATTTTTTTCGAATACCCGTTTTATCTTTGAATTTGGAACAAAAACGAAACAAAGTTCTCTTGTTTTTTTTCTCAAGTTTTTAAAAAATGCATAGAGAAAGTTAAATCATATAATCAACTATTTGGAAAACTCGTCACCCTCATCGTCCAGAAGATTTTTTAAGTTTCTTCAAAATTTCCGGTTTTTTTCCGTTTTAGACCAAATATTTTCAAGCAATCGTTTCCCCAGAAGAAGTATCTTCGTAAATGTTTAGGAGCTGGCGCAGTGCTGCGCGCAAATGGCTTGGTGCGCCAACCCAACGTACCGCGCTCAGTTCCGTTGCTGGTAAAACGTTACTCATAAAAAATGTTGATGACTTTTTTTAGATGTTAAATTCCAGTCTCGGTCATCGGTAAGCGATGAGTGAGCAATACCATTCTGATTTAATTATATAAATCAAAATACTCTTATTAATTAAGTTTTTTTCTAAGCACACCTTAAAACATTTGTACAGGGTAGGCATGGGTAACACACATAAGTTGCGCTTTTGAATTGATGCCGCTCTTTGAGTTAATGAGTTAAAACTCAACTGAGTTAAAACTCTGTATATTTTGGAATATTTTGCTACAAGCAGTTTGGACTGCAGCTTAGGTAGAAAATCAGAAAGTTAACCAACATCTTTAGTGTAAAACTTGTTTCTCTCTCTGAGCTATTAATTTTTTTATATATTTCTTGAATTATAACCATGCGTTTTGAAAAAAGTTCTCATTTTACACTTCTAC